TTATTCTGTATCTTTACAACAACTGGGAAAAGAACACAGCAAAGTAGAACGAACTAGAGTTAATATGAATTATTCATAATAAAGTGAATAAAAGCACTATTTCTTTTAAAAGAGGGAAACTTTGTATGGTAAGACCTGACAATCATGTATACCAGTACTGTAGAATTAAACAGCAAAACAAAATGGTGGAAGATATGATAACATATACAATACAGGGTAAGCGATATAGGCTTAAACCCTGTTTGAGCATTTACACCATACTAGTAAATCCTACAATATGTTTAAGGAAAAAAAGTAGGGGAACAATTCTTTTGATTCATTCATTACGATAATTGGTGTTGATAAGCGTTGTCGGGTGAAATTACGGTTTTCACTATCATTCTGCGGGTAGTTGGTTTATAGTTGAATTTAATTTACCTGAAATTAATTGACTTGCTTTGAAGTGACTCAATTATATTAGGGTGAAATGAAAGGAGCCGAACTGATCAAAGAATTAAAGTGAGACCAGTGACAGAGTCTGTGACTGTGCTCTGAGCCGCTCTGTCACCACTGTGCTATATTTAGCCAACACACAGCAACAACAGCCCCACAACAGTAGGCACGAACTGACCCCCACCATCTGCTCACTCACACACACACACACACACACAATCATATGCACATATTCAGTATATACAGACACACACAATAAGGTTTTGATGCCAAACGTCCCTCAAAACACACACACACACGCACAGAGGTGAACCCAGGTGGACTCATGAAGAGTCAGTCTCACTCAAACAAACAAATACAGGGGACTCCCTACATTGTTGCCTTGGTGATATAATCAACAGTGAATTTTTCACATACGTTCCTGCATTTTCACCATAATAACACATACAGATGCAGATACTCTACACACACACATACACACACAATGTATTCGTATACAATAACAAGGCTTCGGGAAGACTCACTGTGAGAGCATAGAGCTATGGGGAGCCATTTTAATGAGCTTGCTAGTGTGTGTGTGTGTGTGTGTGTGTGTTTGTGTGTGTGTGTAATATGACATCTATTACACATTTCTCTCCATCACACAACTTCAATTATGGCAAAAGGACTAAATGACCCCAATATATTGGTGTTACTTCTCTTTGTGTTCTCACTCATAGCCCATTCGTATTCTGAGCACACACATTATTGTTTTAATACCTCAGCCTCGGAGTTCAATTGTTCAAACTCACTGACTTTTTATTTTGAATGTGGACATTTTTTACCAACCCCAGTAGCCAGAAAAAAAGAAGAGTGGACTGCTATCGATAGTGAGATGTTACACTGATATGTGTCTGCTTGGAAACATCAATTAACAAAGATGCGAGAGGTGGCTGAGGCAGCAGCCGGAGTGAGTTCTCAGGGTGTGCACATTTATTTTCGGGTGCAATTCGAAACAATGGAAGAGATCATGTTCGACAGTATAAATGAAGAACAGAGATTTTTTTTTCTGGCGAGTAGCTGCAGGCTCTAGATTTTAATGGAAAATCATTCCTCGACAGACGTTTGTTTCTCTAATATTCTTCATGTTATGCTTGTTGTAGAAAAATGTAGATTTAATTTCCCCATGTCATCTTGTCAGCCTGCTCCTTTACAAAGCTTCCTTTTCTCCTATACAAATCCCTCTGGTCATGCATCGACATCAGATGCTGACAGAAATCAGTGCTTTTTTTTTTCTGGTGAAGATGGTTGTGCTTAAGGGTTCAGAGAATGCTCTTTCCTCTGGTCTTAAAAGATCGGAGCGTCAGGGGTGAAGATGACAGCGCCGTTGTCCTCACAGGCGCGCAGCCTATTAGACAGGCAGACTGACAGTGCAGCCTAGTGGTAAAGCAACGGAGTCTCACACATGAACACACACTGCAGATTGAGGACAAAACAGCTATGGAATTACCATGAATATATGATGCTTATCCCTCTGCATGTCTGTGTTTGTGCTTATAAATGTGCGTATTGCTTTGCTTCACTCTTTATCGGGACACTGCACGTAGGCACAAGGCTCCCCTATACATGCTGTGGTGGAAGCATTATAAACGCACACAGACAGCCCTGTGTCTCTGGGCCTGAGGAGGAGGGAGTGGAGGAAGGAGTTTGGCAGGCGCAGCGCTGTTTGAATTTGGCCTGGACCCTCATCTCCACGAACCCTCCATCTCCTCCACTGAGCCGGACAGCTGCATATATGTTCACACTTAATTTGCATGGACAAAATTTAGTATGATGGTTAGAGCCCTCTTGTTTGTGTGTGTGTGTGTGTGTGTGTGTGTTTGTGTGCGTGTGAGGTAAATCAAGTGGCCCTAGCAGTGATGCTTTGGCGGCAGCAGCAGCATCATCCTCGTCGTTATGGCAGCGGAGTGGCGACAGTGTTGTGGTTCTGTGTGCCGGGGCTTACAGGGTGTAACAGTTCAGTGTGGAAACTCTGCACAGCGGCAGTACTGGCAGACCCCGGAGCACAGTCGTGACATCATCCTGTACACTTTAGCCCACTGTCACAATTTACCCACATGCCAGAGAGGTGAGGAAACACATGAGTAACCTACCAATAATAATACTGATCGGAGTAGCTTTTAAAAAATTATTTAAAATCTTTATCAGTTCTGAATTATACTTTAAAAACAAAGTACAAATACTGTTATTACTATTATTTAATATTTTTATTATTAGTAGTAGTAGTAGTGGTAGTTGTATTAGTCGTGGTTGTGATACTAACAGAAAATACTAATTGCACTACTACTGTCAGTAATAATTTAGCTATTAATCATTATGATAAGAACACATTTAATACAACAATATTAGTTGCTGTAGTAGTTGTAGCTGTAGCAAGTATAATAATAATTGTAATTGTTTATTATTATTATTGTTGTTCTTTTTGTTGTTCAGTAATAGTATTTGGCATCAGTTGATATTTTGCTTGTAGTAGTCAAAGAGGTAAAAGTAGGAAACATAAAACATTTTTATTATTGTTGTGAAATTAGTAATTGTAAAGTTGTAGTCATATACAATTATCATTATCAATATTATAAGTAGTAGCCTATTCACAGTACTAATTGCTGTAGCTGTGGTTGTGGTATAAAAGTACTTATCATTAAAATTAGTATATTGTTAAAACTTAGTTTAAGCAGTAAAAGTGCAGTATTGTTGTAGTGCAACAAAAGTAGTTGTAGCAGTAGCAGTGCTGGACAGTTGCTACGTACATTTACTCAGGTAATGGGCTTAGGCACAGTTCTGAGGTACTTCTAATGAAGTATTTCCATTGCATGCTACCACTCCACTACATTTAGATGTATTTCTACTCCATTGCTTGTGGTTGACAGCTTTAGGTGCAATTTACATTTCAGATGAAGATTCAACACTTTTGCTTTTAAATGTGTTCAACATGCAACCAACAGCTACAACAGCTGCATTCTATTTACATACTGACGCTTCAGTATTAATCTGATGATGCATAAATGCAAAACGTTTTCTAAGTAAGGGATAACGACGGTAAATAAAGATGAACGACGTGTCTTCACTTTCCTCCAACTGTAGCTAAAATCTTAAACTTTTGACGCCCTCTGGAGTCAGAGTCTGTGCAGTGATCACTTCATGGAGCGGCGGTATCAAGGTCAGTACACACGCTCCACCAATCACGAGTTTGTCTCATCTGTCAATCATGATTTTTCTGTGTTTTTGTACCATCAAATAACTAATTCAAAACCAAACTATTAAAAATAACTGACACCATCGTCAAGCAAAAATTATTTGACGTGTTGTTTTTTTGTTTTTTGTCCATGTCCCATTTGCTAACATGGAGAAGGCAGGGTTAATGAACAAAACTGCAGCTAGCCACCAGGAAGCTTCACTTTTAGATTTTCAAGGCGTTTTGTCCATCTTTGTATGGAGTCATATGCATAAAACATATAAAATATGTCTGGTTAAATGCCATAAGAATCAGTAGAACTGTCAGTTACTATTGAACTTTAAAGTTCATGGCTGACATGAGAGGCAGCGTCTGTGGAAACTGAAGTTTAGTCAACTGTTTATTATTAGTTTTACATCAGCTTAACATCAGTTAACATGAAATCTCACCTCATGAATACAAATGTGTTGGAGGGGTGACACATGACTAAAAACCTCATTTCCTATCAGCTATGTGCTGTGTGTGTGTGTGTGTGTGTGTGTGTGTCTGCGTGTGTTTAATGATTTTACCTTAACACAGCTCAGGTCACTGCAGTGATGTGTGAAGGAAGTTGTGTGTGTGTTATGTTGCAATGTGACCAGACTGAAAAACCAACTGATTAGCAGAGATACTGTGAGTTCCCCACTATCACACGATCAATATATAATCATAGTCTTGAATAACACACACACACACACACGCAMACACACACACACACACACATGCACGCACACACATACACGGCGTGGCACCTGGACATACTGAAGCTTCATAAATACAATATGATAAATAGATAATCGATCATTGTACTTGAGCCTGGCAGACATGCTGCTGTCCCTTCAGTCAGATATTAGCCACTGGGTAGGTGAGTTTGTGTAAGTGTGCATTTGTGTGTGTGTGTGTGTGTGTGAGAGAGAGAGAGAAGTAAGCCAATGAAAAGAGAGAGTAAATATCAGGAGGGGTGGGCCACTGTGCCTGTTCATGACCCAGAGAGTGAGAAGTTGGCCAGGCAGGTAGAACGAGAGGGTGTGACAACTGAGCGTGCGTTTAGTGTGCAGCATCACACTGCCATTGGCTGCCGAGACTGACAGACGTGCTCGTCCCTCCCCTTCCTCCGACTGCCTGCTGAAAGTGTATGTATGAAATGTGTGTGTGTGTGTAAGGGAGCCGGCAGACTGAAGTGAGCCACAGAGGCAGGCTCCAACAACCCAATGAGCTTGCAGCCCTCACACTCACACACACTCCTTACACACACACTCACACACACACACACACTCTCCTCAGTGCCGGCTCTGGCTTCAACCCTGGGACACAGAAGAAGAAACAGGAGAGGGGAGAGACAGGCAGCGAGTGGCAGAGAGGGAGAGTGAGGGCGAGGGAGTAAGAGAGGAGAGAGGGAGAGAGAGGCAGAGGGAGACTGGCGGGGTGTAGGGGAGAACACCATGGCTTCAGATCCAGGGCTGGCTGCGATGCTGCTATGGACTATATCACTACAGGCTCTGGGCACGGGGGGAACGAACAGCAATGAAGGTAAGTGTGTGAGTGTGTGCTGATTTCAATAGACTGAGTTAAATAATGCATCTTCTCTGCAGGAATTAACTTCATTCATGGAGAAAAACACACACACACACGAATAAAAGAAGACACTCACAGAGAGGAGTGTGTTTGGTTGTCTTCACCCTGAGCATGACATCAAAGTTTGTTGGATGACGACTGTCTTTGTGTGTGTGTGTGTGAGAGTGTGTGTGTGTGTGTGTGTGTGAACTTGTCTTGACATTGCTCATATTTACCCCTTTTGCATGTCGGCTGCAGTAACAGCGCATGTGTCTGCTGTGAGGTCAGGCAGTGACGTGAAAGTGTGTGTGTTAGATCGGAGGTGAACATCTAAAATGATTTCTCATGTGTATACATTTGTTGAGCTTCCTGAAAGGTGTGTGTGTGTGTGTGTGTGTGTGTGTGTGTGTGTGTATGTGTGTGCGTGAGTGTGTCTCTTTGTTTGTGCGTGTGTCTATAGACGTACACAATCTGCACACTTTGCTCCCATCAGCCCACATTCTGAGTTTGTTTACTTTCATCCTCCTGTCCTTCATCTTTCCACCACCAGACGGAAAAAACTGTTGTTGTCACTTGTTCAGCTAATGCCGCACACACACTACAAAGTCCCCTGGCACCTTTCTACATGTGTGTATGTGTGCCTGTGTGAGAATATGTGTTTGTGTGTGTTTGTGTGTGTTTGTGTGTGTGTGTGACAGGGTCCTTGACATAGGTCTGGTCTCAGGAGGCCGAGTGACAGCAGCAATTCGACTGTAAGGGCCTTCTTCACCCCTGCCGGCACATTCAGCTTACCACTGCAGGGAAAAGAGCAGCAGCAGAAGAAGAAGGAGAAGACGAAGAAGGAAAAGGACAGGAAAAGATAGTGAGGGAAAAAAGAGAGAGATCCGTACTTTGGTTCAGTTGGGATCACCTCAGCAGTGGAGAGATGAGGGCAACCGCTTATCCTGTATTAGGCTCTGTCAAGTCGGGATAGGGGAGTCGGGCAGCCCTCAGGTCAGATAGAGCAGGAGGCGCGGACCGCCATGCAGACAGACATGTTGTCGTGTTTGTTGTCTCGGCAAATCCCACATTCACAACCATGAAAGGCCTGCGTTATTTACATGTGCCACTTTATTTTCTCGCTCTTCCTGCTGGCCTCATCATTCCCTCTTTTTCGTCTCCGCAATTCAAATTCATTCACTTTCTCCTGTGATGATTGTTGCCCTTTGCTGAGGAACACTCCATTGAATGAGCACAAACTGAATCAGGTGTGTGTTTCCCCAAAAAACAAGATTCCCTTTTGAAAAAATATTTTTTTCACAAGTCTGTTTTTCTGTCCATCATTTGTCTGAATGTGTTTTCACAAAGTTGAAGTGAAAAAAAAATCTGTCACTTGGAAGAACTTATACAAAAAATACTACTAAAACTACATCACACAAACACAAAACTACTATTGTGCTATTTAAATCAATGTAATGTGTCTTGAATACATGGGACCATACTGCATACATAAACAAAATGACTTGGCAGAAGCAATTAGAGGCACGGACTCAACTTTTTCTTGTTTTAATTGTTGACAGTTTGAGTGTGTCTGTGACTCAGGTTAAAACAAAATGGAGCTTGGGGAGGAGAAAAAAATCAGTGTTTTTTCTGAGATTCAAATGGAAAATTTGAAAGAAAAAAAATCTAACTCAGAAAAAAAGTGTCCCTTTTTGTTTGACAAGGATCAATATCGCTTTAAACATGTTAAACAATTAAGAAAGACTTGTAATTTTAACCCATAGT